CCTTTGGATACTCAGAAGTACCCACCATCCCTCAAGTGCATTTTCAATCTTCTTTGCCAGTGCTGTTTACTCTGACATTCCCTACCCTCTACTCCTTCTCCACTTGGAATAATCCTAAACACAGTCAAGACCCAGTTCCAACTTCCTTCCTCCCACGGTGTCCTGAGAAACCTGAACCTGGAAGAATGCAAGTGACAGGAAGCCTGATTCAAAGTGGCTCCAACAATAAGAGGTTTGTTTTCTCACTTAAGAAAATCAATGCCGTGGTGATGCCGTGGTTAATTCAACGCTCAATGGGCCATAAAAGATGGGGGTTCTTTCCAACTTTCTGTTCTGCCATCACCAGTGTGGCTTTATCTTCAAGTTTGATCATCAGGCTTTCCCTCACAAACCATGGGTAGCACTGTTTATTATATGTTAATGTCTATATTAGGATATTAGTCAGGCTTTCCAGATAAAAAGAACGTATAGAGTTGTGTGTGTGTGTGTGTGTGTGTGTGTGTGTGTGTGTGTGTGTGTGTGCATGCGTGCAGAGAGAGAGATTTATTTTAAGGAATTGGTTCATATAATTGTGGAAATTGAAAAACTGAAATTTGCAAGCAGGTTGGCAGGCTGGAGACCCAGGGAAGTATTTATGTTGCAGCCCCAAAGCCCAAGGATTCTGGAAGCACAATTCCCTCTTCCTTGGGAGACCTCAGTCCTTTTCTCTTAAGGCCTTCAACTGATTGGATGAGGCCCACCAACATTAAGGAGGGTAATCTGCATTACTCAAAGTCTACTGCTATAAATGTTAATCTCATCTAAAACCTATCTTTACAGAAACAACTAGAATAATGTTTGAGCAAATGCCTGGGTACTGTGGACTAGCCAAATTGACATAAAATTAGTCATTATGAGACTGAAATTACCATGATTGTTATAGATATTAGCCAAGGATAATCTCCTGGGGCAGGGGAGGGGTTCCTTCCCTGGGCACATTCAAACAAAATTGGGGCTCTGCCTGCAAGGCAGACTGTGGTTATGGATGGGATTGGATGAAAGTACGGATTTAAGCGGGTAAATGTCTGTTAAACACCAGGCAGGCAGAATCCCAATACTTTATGGCCTTCTTTACATGTTTTACCAATCCTATTAGATCCCTTGTTATACTGAGTCATGGGTTTATGGCATATCTCCTTAGACTGTAGGTTAACCCTTGAATAAGAATGATATACTGGTTACCTCTTCATCAACAGTCCCTTACGTGGTGCTCAATATCAGGTGACTACTCTGTAAATGCTACTGAATTAACCCAATTTAACCCAAGTTGGCTATTCTTTTTTTTTATTTTTATTTTTTTTTTATTTTTTACAGAGAGGAAGGGAGAGAGATAGCTAGAAATGTCGATGAGAGAGAAACATCGACCAGCTGCCTCCTGCACATCCCCTACCAGGGATGTGCCCACAACCAATGTACAGGCCCTTGACCGGAATCGAACACGGGACCCTTCAGTTCCCAGACCAACGCTCTACCGCTGAGCCAAACCGGTTTTGGCCCAAGTTGGCTATTCTTGTGCTAAATCAACCTTGTGCTTGCTACTGTTACAGAAATTGCATATTTCTATCCACCACAACCTTTGTTGAAGTCACAGATTCGCAACTGCTATTCCAACTGCTAATTACTTCTGGCCATTCTTGTAAAGAACTTAGGGGACCATAAAATTGACCAAGTAGTCTAGCCATGTGAAGTTCTCTTCTTTTTCACACATCCATAACCTGGAAAAAAAAATCCCAGTGGCAAAGTAAAGAATCCTCTCAGCCTTATATTCAGCAATAATAATTAGAGATAAAGGGTCCATTGTTTGCCCTAAAGCATAAGCTCAGATAAAATAGGTCATCTGGAGTCCGTCTGATCTCAGAGCCTCAGGTACAATTACTTAATTCAAATATTCTCATGACTCCTATATATATATATATATATATATATATATATATATATATATATATATATGTATATATATATATATATATATATGTATATATATATTATTTTTTTTAACAGAGTTAAAGTTCCCAAAATTTAGAAAGTGAAATAATCAGATAGCAGTCTTCTTTATCACAAAGTCAAAGGTCATCAGGAGTGATAAATACAGAGGATGATAAAATCAATTCTCACTTGGCCACTGTGTAGCGGAATTTAAGGAGCATTTTACTAAGCACCTTTCATGTTTTGGGCATCAGGATAGACACTCATTTGCAATATTATATTTTCCAAAGTTCAGCCCCCCGCCTTTGCTGAAGCATATGAGAATCAAATATCCAGCTATGGTGGTAAAATAATGATAGTTATACAAAGAAACAGACATGTACCAATATCACCATTAGCAATTTCCCTGCATTGTGTAATTTAATTCTCACAAAATCTCATGAAGCTGATTTAGTCCTTATCTCCATTTCAACAGATGAAGACTTCGGGGCTGAGAGTGGGTAGGCAACATGCTGACAGTTATACCAGCAGGAAGCCCTGGAACCTGTACTCAGCTCCATGTATGATCCCAGAGTCCATGCTCAGACCTCTATACCTGCTGCACCCCAGACAGGGGGCTTTGTATGTATTATCTCATTTAAAACTGGAAATGAGGAAAAGTTTGAGTCTTAAATCAACACATAAAGGGGAAAATATAATTTATTTCCTGTAATTAAAAATAATTTTAAATAAACTCAAAATATGGCCTTAAACACATGTAAAGAGTATGTCAACAGAGGGGAAAATCATCAAAAAAAAAAAAAGGTGGGGCAGAAAAACAGAAGCCTGCAGTGCTTAGCCAGAGTTGTCCATGAGCATTTTAGTCACTATAGATAACATTATAATATGCCTAGTATAGTTGAGCAAGACTTACTATAACCTGGAGGAATGCTGTTAGCTGCTCTAATTTCATAATACCAAAACAAGAAGGTAATTATACATGTAATTTCCAGGATATCTTGCCCTGGCCAGGTGGCTCAGTTGGTTAGAGTGTTGTCCCATATACCAAAGGGCAGTGGGTTCGATTCCCAGTCAGGGCATGTAACAGGTTGAGGGTTCGATCCCCTGTCGGGGAACATATGGGAGGCAACTGATGGATATTTCATTCTCACATTGATGTTTCTCTCTCTTTTTCTCCCCTCCTCTCTCTCTAAAATCAATAGAAGGCTATTCTCTGGTGAGGATTTAAAAATGTAATTTCCAGGATTATCTTGAATATAAACAGCACATTCCCCAGGAAACAAACAAACAAATAAAATTCCATCCGTTGGACAGGGACATTCCCAGTTGTAGTATAAAATATCATGTATCTATACGTGCCATGTGAACATAACTTGTGTTAATTAAGTAGTTCTAAGATTATTAGAAACCTGATCATTTCCGGGTGAATTAATCAAGTCCAGTTCTTATCCCACTGAGCCAAGGAATAAACGTACCATAATGAATTTATGAAGTTAATAATGTCAGTTGATGAGGCTGTTTGGCAGTCAGTTGGCGTTTTCCTGAGTCCCCCACTCTCCCTCACCATGCCTGCTTTCCTCCTGTTGGAAAGCTCCAAGACCACGCACTACTCTCACACAACACAAGTAAGAAAAGGGACACTAAGAGAAGCTTGGTAACTTGCTTAGCTCTGCACAGCTATGTGGGGCGCTGCTACAGTGTTTGAACAGGTTCAACCCTCAGATTAATGAGAGGGCACAGTCCTCTCGTGGCCACGTGGAAGTCACTCCCCGCACAGTTAGAGCCAACAGCTGTAGTTGTCAGCTTGAACCTATGGTCCGAACACTTGGCCCCACGTGCCTGGGTGATGTGGGCTTGATGGAGTTCAGGTGCATGTGATTGAGTAGATTTGAAACCCATGAGAATGTTGTAAACATCTTGACCACACCCTTACTTTGCCTCGTGGCATCTGCCATAAAATAAAGACATGGCTTGTGGGGTGCAGCACTTTCTCTCCATGAGGAAGCAGCGTCCCACCGAAACCCAGCTTTCATTCTTGTCTGTCTTTTCTAAGCCTTTCAGCCTCCCCTACTCAGGTTCACCCTGGGCTGTGCCAGCGTGGCACACAGCTAATGTAGTGAACTCTACGGGAGAAGATGACACCACACTGACCATGTGGATGAGCCAGGTGACCTGGAGCACTGCTCTTTCCACTTGCCACCAATTACAAAGACCCCCACTGACACTAGAAGTCATCTGTTCTCAGTGCCTGAGTGAGGACCTCACATTGGCTCCTCTTGAAAGCTCTGTGTTTTACCCTCTCCTATATAAGCAGTTAAAATTCTTTGAAATACCTCACCTGCCTTCCCTCCCTTCCATCCTTCTCTTGAACTTTCTTGCTCTTCCCCATACTTCTCTCACCACCAAAGTCTTCATTAACACAGCAGAAGTATAGGGACCACTGCTAGGATAAGGGGAGAGGGGAAAGGTAGGGACCCTCCGCCTTGCTTCTAAACTAAAGTCACAGTATGTTTCTGCCTCTAACCTGTCTCCAGTTCCTCCCCGCCCCCCCCCGCCCCCCCATGCTGACAGCATCTTCTTTGCCTGTTATTTTTAGCTGGGGCTTGGCTAATCTGCTAAGTGCTGACCATGGATGCTCCTGGAGTGACACTGATGACAGCATGTGTCCCAGCAGGCCACATGGCCATGGCCATCCTTTCCAGACTCCCTGCTTCACTGATGTTAAGAAATGGCTCTCTCACACTTCACCAAATTCCAGCAGAGTTTCAACCCCAGTCCTCCATCACCCTCTCCCTGACAGAGCCACTTGCAGGTGGAAGGACCTTGGGATGTAGACTCAGATGGAAAAATGTGGTCTTGGTTAAATAGCCACTCGCTCAATACACTTTCTCTTGATGGAGTATTCATCTAACACATAAGTCAGAGTATACTGCCTTTTGCAATACAGCGCATGCCATGTAGCAAATGCAAAACTCTGGAAATAATACCATATTTCATTCAAATTCTTTTCTTATAAATGAGAATAAATGTTTTACCTGGAACAAAGCTTCCCTGGACCACCTCCTTGTACGCCCACCAGCCTTCATGGATTTTTGGTGAATTCTGTTGAGCTAAAGGAAAAACAAGGAAGAGAGACTAAGATAATAGCAGAGAAGTGCTATGTCCTGGCTGTCAAAGCAAGAAGCATGAATATACATAAAATAATACTTTTCTCCCCCAAAGTCCTACTAACAAATTCAATAGCAACCCTTCCCCTCCTATTCAATTAGATCATTAGCCTGTAAATATGTTGTCATGGAGTACTATAAAAAGCACTCGGGATATTTCTATTATATTTAATAGAAATAGACTATAATTATATATTTAAGCCTATTTGAATTCCCCTGTCATTTGTCTCTACCTCCGACTTGGCTCTTTGCTTCTTCTGTTCCCTGCACACACACACACCCTCTGCTGGAACTGAGAGGAAGCTGATCCCATCCACAAGCTAGGCAAAAATTCTACAGATTCACAGAACTCTTAGGGATGGAGAGGTAGGGAGTTTTCTGAGAGCGCCAAACTAGAAGTGGGAAAGGTGCAATCAGCCAGCTCTCCTCAGTTCCCAGAAGAATGAAGATAAGAGGGTAAATGATCATGTGAGGGATTTGGACTTCATAGGGAGGAAGAGCAGCAATCCCAATACAATGGATCATCCCACAGGGATCTGCGAGCTCATACCAACATGGCCTCAGAATAATCTGACACTCATGACAGTTGATGGGCGAATTGGGGCTATGCTATTTCATATGGGGGTACATCCCAAAGTATGGTGACACAAACACTTGTGCTGAACCGTTCACCAATTCAATCACATTCACGTTTCAGCTCTTAGTCCCAATGAAGGAAAATAATGTAATTTCAGACCATAATTATAATTTGTTTAGTATATAGTATATATTAAAACTCTGCTTGGATGTCCATTCTTTAAATCTTGTTCTGTTTTCAGTCTCCTTGTTCAGACTACTCATTCAGGGTCAGAGAAAAACAATATAAAACAATGGGTCTGAAAGCAATGCTTTGTGTAGAGGGAGGATCTGCTGAGTTGCTTTAGCTCCCATAGGAGCTGCAATTGCTTAGCCCCGTGTCTTCCCTTGTACAGAGGAGATGCTTTTCCTGCCTATGACAATAAGACCCCTGAGGCATGTAGCTCTGTCATGAAGGTGGGTTTACGACACAGGACAATTAGAAGAGAAGCCCACATTTCCTGGAGCTGGTAGTTGGTGTAGGAGATTTTAGAAACAAATAGAAGAGAAACAAATATTCTATTTAAGGCTCTGGAAAGACATCACATTTCAAGGTGCATCAAGGTAGAGTGAATTTTCCAGTACTCTGACTTCCTACATGGCATGAATGGTGGCCAGATGTTCCTATAGCCCTTGAGGAAGATCCTGCAGGCAGCTGGAAAGTTGGAAGCCAGTGCATCTGTTCTGGGGCAGAAGACAAATGGAGAAGTGACTTCAAGCAAAGGCTGGAGGAATTCTGTCCAGCCAGGGATCCAAGAGGAAGAGTCCACAGAGACTCAGGTATTAGTAGCATCAGGGAAAGATGAGGAGATGTGAAAGCTGTTAAGCATGACCAAACCGAGATATCAGATCAAGAATAATATACTTGCAAAGTTCACCAAGTAGGTGGACAAAGGACAAAGGACATTTTTCTACAGTTCAGAATGATTTTGATTTACCACTGAACTTGCCACTGCATATAATTCACCCTTCTATTCCTTCCCAACTCATTGGAAGGTCCTCCTAGGAGCTAGAGGGGAATCTCAAAGGCTAAGAAATCTATGAGATAGTGTGTCACCTAATGATTCAAACATAGTGGCCCTGTTTTGAAACAAGCACCTTGTAACACACACCTTGATGATAATTAAATTCACAGACAGTACATCCTACTGGGGGCAGGGGGAAGAACTGATATTTCAGCATAGCTCTGCTGGACATGGAGCATGTCCCAGGCCTGGAAAAGACACACATGTCTGAAAGCTCAAAAGCACGGAACTGTGGACATCACCAAATGGTTTTACACCAGAGATTAGTCGGGATGAATTTTCTTATAAAAAAGGAACTTCTGAATTTCATAAAAAATCACCAAATTTTATCCCATCAGGATCTTTGCCTGTCATTTGAACAACTGAAACCATAAACACAGACTTCTCTTTGATTTTCAGAGCCAGCTGTTGTAGAAGCTACACTCTCTTGCATATATTTCATCATTCAAAGGAAAGATCAATATAGCATTCAAAAAGTGTTGTTTTACATTTTTTAAAACCAAGTAGTTTTAGTTAAGATTTTTAATTGATTTTTTTTAAAGACAGAGGAAAGGAGAGAGAGAGTGAAACATTGATCAGCTTATGCCTACACCCCTCTCCCTTACCAAGGAATTGAGCGTGCAATCCAGGCATATGCCCTACCTGGGAATCAAACCCAGGTGTACTGGATGATGCCCAACCAAGACACATCAGCCAGGGCTATCAAGTAATTTCACAAAAATCTTTGTTTATAGTATTTACACATATTAATTGTGAGAAATCAACATAGTGCATTAGTTATAAAATATAAAGGAGAAATAAAGGAACTATAACCAATGATGTGTGTCTCAATATGTAAATGTTTTAGCATGAAGAGAAATTGGCAAATTATCATTGGCTGGCCAAAGATGTCCCACTAATTGTTTTTGATCTGTCCAGGCACTAAGAATGGTTTTACAATTTTAAATAGTTGAGAAAAAATTCAAAGAATAATAATTTTTGTGACATGTAAAAATCATAACTAAATGCAAATTCTGGTGTCTAAAAATCAAATTTTATTGATCCACAGACAATGCCCATTTATTTATATAATGTCTATGGCTGCTTTTCTACTACAACAAAGTTGAATGGTTGCAACAGAGACCATTTGGCCAAAAAATCTAAAGTATTTCCTACATGGCTCTTGACTGAAAAGTTTGACTGCTAACTTACACACATAATCTCAAATATATATATATATATATATATATATATATATATATAGTAATGCTTTGACTATTATCTAAAGAAATAAAATACAATAAAATATGTATTTCAATTTGCAAATACTTGGGTGTGATTCACTAGGAGATAAAATGAAGCAGCTAAATGTATGGTTGAAACAGGTGTGAATAATGAGGTTGTATTGTACTGGAGGTTCCAGAACCCACAAGCAGCACTCTCTCAGTGGTGTGTGTGATTTTCCAAAATAGTGAACCAACTCTTGGCAAAGTTTGGGACATGATGAAATACCACCCTCCCTTAATTTACATGGCTGAAGAACTGGTATATCAGAGCTGTGTAAGAGATGCTTTATGTTCAGATGCAAAATGAAGTATAACTGTAGGCTCAGATAGAGAACATAGCTTTCACTCACTTGAATGTCAGCGGGGATACGGGACAATTTATCATTGCTTGGAACTGTCAACTGTACTGAAATTCTCTGTGCATCCCGGGTTGGAGCTACTAGGATCCTCTTTAATTGAAAAATTTCAAATTGCCCCAGCCATTTCCAAATATTCCAATGGCAGCCCTCTTGATACTCCCTGACCTACTAGGGCTATATATAGCACTATTTCTACATGCTAAATGAGATAGAGTGCAACGTGTTAAACACTAATCAGAAGATAAAGTTTTAACTAAATGGATAAGATACATCTTTCCCTATGTATCTGAACTGTAATGCTGCGTGAACCCCATTAGATATATTCATATTCCCTCTCCCTCTCCCTCTCCCTCTCCCTCTCCCTCTCCCTCTCCCTCTCCCTCTCCCTCTCCCTCTCCCTCTCCCTCTCCCTCTCCCTCTCCCTCTCCTCTCCCTCTCCCTCTCCTCTCCTCTCCCTCTCCCTCTCCCTCTCCCTCTCTCTCTCTCTCTCTCTCTCTCTCTCTCTCTCTCTCTCTCTCTCGTTTGCGCGCGCGCGCGTGCTTACACACACGGACAGACTGACAGGCACACACACACACCCCTGTAAGGAAGACCTATCCGCCTGTGAAGCATCCACTTAAGAGACATCATTTCAAAGGAAGAAAATGGTCATTGGATCATTAAGAGGATGACAAGTAACAGAAGTTTTACCAAAAACCTCTGTCCCATTCAAAAAATTGCAGAATACTTTACTCTGTTCATCTCCAATCATCGCCTCTTCAGCTCCCATTAAGTGGGCTGATGTAAGGTGTTAGCAGCGGCTGGACAGTCAGACCATCCGAATCAGGTGTGTTAGGATGATAGAACTGCAGAGTTTTCCTCAGCCTCCTTCAACATGCATTGTGAAGGACCCAACTCCATCTCCCCAAATCAGTCAGCCTGAGTGGGTCCAATGTCTATCAATTACAAAATATGCTCCCTGCAGCCTTGAGTCGGAGAAAATAAAGGCATGTTTTCCAAGGCCCAGTCTGGCTTCACCCTCTTCAACCAGTGGAAAGGCAGAACATCACACAGAACAGGTACTTCCTTTCAGGTTCTGCGACGTGCTGGGAGCAGCTTATTTGAGACAGAGCACCAAAGAAGTGCTGGATTCCCACTTTCATTCCTGGCCAGACCCTCACTAGTCATCTTGTTTACATCTGATTTGCAGCGAATGGGGAGCTGCTTGAGAGTTCTCCAAGCTAACAGGTGAACAGGAAAACAGCCTTAGCTTCCGCTGGGCTCCCTGCTTCTCTTTGCTTATGGATCAGGATTTCTCCACTTCACATGCAGCCAGCCCCTGGGGAAACTCAGGTGTCTAATCAAAGACATTACGCTGCCAATAAAAGTTGTCATCACGGCCAGATGAGGCCATACACACGGCAAGGGCAGTAAAGAAAAGCCATTTCCATTTTATTCTTCTCATTGGAGCAATTTGGGAACTTGTGAGCTTTGAAAGGAAACTCAGAATATCCAGATTTTGAAAGGGATACAGTGTTGGTTGCTCCAATCTCTTCCTGTGCAGATGAGGAAACTGAGGCACAGAGAAGGGAAGCCACTTAAAAAGTATGGGGTATTAGGAGTCAGCAAATTTCTACTGTACTAGTAAATGGCTAGATAGTTAATATTGCAGGCTACTGTACCTGTATACCAACTCAACT